CTTTGTCAACGTAAAGACACAACATCCTTTGCATCATTTGGTTGCCTTAAACAGGCACTTGGAATTACTGAAGGAGATTTTGACTCCTCTTTTGACTACTGCAAATGCCTCGGAAATCAGGCAAAGTAGGTAATGTGGCTCCTTCCTTTCACTCTTAGAAATGAGTTACATTGCTGCATGTTTTCCCAATGTGCTGTTTTCAAAAAGGCAACTGTATTTTTGCTTGAAGATGTTTCACTTCTCATCCAAGAAGCTTCTTCAGNCCTTCCCACCAAAGGTGGTTCCTATTTTTCTACTTGCATTTTTACATGCTTTCAAACTGCTAGGTTGGCAGAAGCTGGGACAAGTAACGGGAGCTGACTCCGTTAACGTGGCACTAGAGATTCGATCTGCGCATCTTAGCCACCGAGCCACTATATCCCACATACAAAACAATAAAAGCAGTTAAAAACACACCATCCCGCAAGCAGCCTAGACCCAAATAAAGCAAATCCCAAAAACATCAACCCCAGACCTGAAACCAAAACCAGGTCACAAGCCCAGGAGAGAGGGCACCCTTCATTTCTCTGAGAGAAGCCGTGCCAGAGAGCAGGAGCTGAGACAGAGAAAGCAGGCTTTCTCTTACCAAATAGTAATATTTAATTAATTCACTGTGCCCTACTGTACAGGTAGTCCTTGATTTACAGCCACAATTGAGCCCAAAATTTCTGTTGTTGAGACATTTGTTAAGTGAATTTTTACCCCATTATCCAACATTGTCTCAGTTGTTAAGTGAATCACTGCAGTTGATAAATTAGTAACCTGGTTGTTAAGTGAACCTGGCTTCCCCTTTGATTTAACTTGTCAGAAAGTTCAAAAGGTGATTGATTACATGACCCTGGGACACAGCAACAGTGATAAATATGAACCAATCGCCAAGCATCTCAAATTTGATCACATGATCATGGGGATGCTGGAAATGTCATAACAAAAATGGTAATGTCACTTTTTTCAATGTGCTGTAACTTTGAACAGTCACTAAGCAAACTTGTAAGTCGAGAACTACTTGTATCTGGTGGGCAGCAACAGTTGGAGACGGGTGGTCCTTCAAATAACCAGGGTCTATAGTGTAAAGGTCTTTATAGGTAACGACTAGCACTTTGAATTGCACCTGGAAGCCAATTGCCAAACAATGCAGCTCCCTCATTAGTGGTTGCACATGGGCGTACTATGAGGCACCCAACACTGTGCATGAAATTGCATTGCAGTATAGGTGAGGGTTGGGGAGTTATGAATGTTTAAACTATGAACTTTAAATGTTGTACACCACCTAGAGTCACTGTGATTATATATATATTTGTTTGATAATAATTAAATTTTATACCAAATGTAGTTTTTGCATGGTATTAAAAGGCATTTTCATTTAGAATACATTACAATAATCCAGTCATAGGTGACCAGGGCATGAGTATCTGAACAGCCTCCCAGTTAGAAAAAGAACTGCAGAAGATGAACCTGCAGATAGACCCTGCTCACTACAATTGCCACCTGTTTTTTGAGAAGTAACTATGAGTACAGAAGGACTCCAAAGTTGTTCACCAGTCTAGAATAGGGAACTGCTACCCCATCCAAAGCCAACTATGGAAACATAATCAAGTTTAGAAGTCAGGAAAACGGCTACATCCATTCAGTACCTGAGCTGAAATCTGTTCTGCCCCATCTGGATCTGAACAACCTCTAGACATTAGCTAAGCACATAGATAGGTTCACCTGCACAGTCCAGAATTGTGATATGAATTAAGATCACTGGTGTACTGATGATATCAAATTCCAAACTGACAGATGACCTCCTACTAGCTCAATGATGGCAGAACATGAAAAGAGATCAGGGCATGAAACTGATATACCTTAAGACAGGAGTGTCCAACTTTGGTAATTTGTGAACTTCAGATCCCAAAATTATGAGAGTTAAAGTCCACAAGTTGCCAAGATTGGACACCCCTGCTTTATACACTTTATATATTTTTGATCTTTATCTTTTATTTCTCTTTATTTTAGGAATATAATTGTTTATAATTGTTGGTTTTTATCTTTTAACAATTTTTGAAATAATTTCCTTTTAAGATATTTTATTATCACAGTATTTTGTGGCATACAGGCACTACCATGCATGTATTCAGATGTAGGATCTACTGATTGGATTAGGCATTAGGGAACAGGTGGGATTACCACTATTAAACCTGGATAGCAGTGTCCTTATCCAACTCAGTGGCAGTAGTGGTGGTAGTGTTCCTCAAGCTTATAGTTTTGTGTGATTTCTGTTACAACATATAGACTGAAGTGATGGACAATTTGAGGGTCCTCTTGGACTCTCAGCTTCTATTTGAAGAACATGTGGCAGCCGTGGCCAGAAGGACCTTTCCACAAATTCATCTTTGAGCCAGTTGTATCCATTCCTGGATTGAGAGACCCTACTCACAGTCATGTCTTGATCACCTCCCTTTTGGATTGTTGCAATGCCAGTAGTTGGGCTGCCAGTAACAACAATTGATTCAGAATGCAGCGCTGTGGGTAGCTATATTTACACAATCAATGCATGTAACATCACTACTTCATGAGTTCAGGTCTAATTCAACATGCTAGTTACAGTACAATCTGTAAAGCTCTTCAAGCCCATCCAAGTTTCTTGGGAGACCACTAATTTCTACTAATTGAATCGGCTCATCCCATGAAATCTGACAGGATCTTAAAGCAATGTAATCTGCTTGAGAAAGACACTTTCTTTATTGCACTGCCTGCCCCAGTTATCCCTTGAAATTCAAATGGATGCAATTCTGCTATGGTAACCTTTTATAATGCCTTCATAATTGACTTTTCTCCCAGGTTGGTGAATGGGAGGTTCTATAATAGTTTGATATTGAATGATTGTAGGCTGGACTTGAATTTGTTGTAATTTTAATTTATCCTTGTTTGGTCCTGTTTTATATTAGTTTTAAACCCATGTTAACTGTCCAGAGTTGCAATTATGAGTTGGGCAGCCATGTAAGTTGAATGAATGAATGAAAAAAAATGAACAGTACTATATATGTGAATTACCATAATTTTTTATATGAGTGTTCTCATGTTTATATTTTTACATAGAAGACACTATGATAGTATGATAAAAATTCCAATCATCATCAAATGAATCTAATGAAGTCTAGATCTTGCCACTGTCCACAAAATAATTGCTATTGCTAAGGTATGGTAATCATGATTTTTTTCACTTCTTAATAAAAAAGCATTAAATCTGAAATCATGTTTATGTTTACTTGAGAATCACCACTGAGTTCAGTGAGCTTGTCCGATAAACATGGATGAGATCCATCTGCAGAAGGATCACTAGAATAGGAAACAGGTTAAAAAACAATACTGCTGCCAGTTTCTAAGTGCCAATGTACATATTGCTTTTAGCAAACAAAACAGATGCCTGAAAATTATTACCCTATATTATTTAAAACTCTCAACAATTATATTGACCCAGCCCAAGATGTTATTAGCTAGTTTCCCATTGCTAAGGACCAAAGCATGGTATATGTGCGTTTGTGTGTGTATATCAAGAAAATAAATGAAAATAGTGGCTACACATAGCTTTGCCCATAAAATTCTGGATTTCTCATTTCAGTCATTACTTATTCCAGTGTTGTTGAGGAAAAGAAACATTATAACCTCACATTTAGTGAAGTATTCTGGTTTACAAGTTCCTAAATATAAAATGTATCACTACCTTTGAAAGATTGTAATCTCAGATCATAGACAAAAACAATCAACAAAAATGTATAGGAAAACACAGCTAAAAAAATATCACCACTGTTTAGTTATTTCAAGATACAGTGATCTTGTTTGAACAAATTTGCTGATGCATTGTACTCCTCTGTTTTTTCTTTTGTGGAAGTAGCTAAAACACAGAACTGCTACCCATCATTTCTTAACTTTTTATCCAAGAAAATATCTTAGGGTGTTCTTCTCTTAATACATCTGGCATACAATTCTGGCTTCTGAAGGCTAAAACTTCAGTTTGGATAAAATAATAGCCTAGATAAAAAATTCCCAAGCTTAAGCACTACTGCTGATAGGAGAAGCCAAATAGGGGTAAACAAGCATTACCAAAACTCCATTTCCACATACTCTGAATTGAACCAGTATGTCAAGCAACTACATTTTTCAGATGATTTCATCTTTAAAATAGTACTTAATGCTTCTAAAATTGTATTTCAGAGATGATCTGTATTTCTGGTTGTGAAACTAATTACACACAAATGTACCATACAGAAATAAATATATTTCTTGGTAAAAAGATTTCTCTCCAGAAATAAAAGGAAATCAACATTTATCTCTGCCCCTTTCACCAGCAGAAGCTTTTATTGGATTAGAGTAACTTCTGTTTCTAGAACAGTGACTCAGGAGCCAAATATTTTGAAAAGATTTGAAAGAATCTCTGGCTTTATTTTAATTAGTAGATTTAACTTCATCTTGGGTTAAACAGTGGGATGTACAGATATTCTCTGACATAGCAAAATAATTTTTATTACACTTCAATTCAATTAACTGAGCTCATCCCTGTCTATATAAACAATCACTGGAATAGATTTAATGTTGATTATAGAAATAAAAAGTTTTAATTCAAAAATGGTATCCATCAAAATTATACTAGTAACAGATCCAGGCCTAGTTCAAATATGACTCTTATAGCCAAGTAAGTTAGGGATAAGGTTTGCATTTGAGATGTAAGTGTGTATTTTAAATGTAAGTTTTAGCAATCAGGGATTTTCAATTTTTTCCTTTTGTTAACTACTTAATATCTTAGAAAAATAGTTTTTAAAGGTCATTTCTACTTCATTGTATGCTGTCCATATCTATATGGGCATCAGGGCAATTGATTTATCTAAAAATTATCAATTACAAATAAAACGATAGCCCTTTCTTCACTATGGTGTTTTTTCATAATCATGGAAGGTATTGAGTACTTTGTTATTTCTTTGTTCTCAATATTATGCTACAAGTATTGTGTGAACCAGTTCTCTGTATTATGCAGATTAGTATAATGCTGCACAGAACTGAAAGAATAAAAATCTATGTTAATAAAAATAAGTAAAAGAAATCTTTAAAGACAAAATTGTTCCCCTTTATGTACTACTATGCCAGTGCCAAAAAGGAAAGATTTCTTTAAAGCAAAATAAAAGACCAAGGTGAAGAATAACCGCTAACAATAATTCATACAAACATTGTAACTTCCTGTAATAATGTGGAAAAATAAGAAACTGCAAAATTGCTTTCTGAATTGTTACATAGTATGGTCATGAGATTTTCTAGGCATTTCAATGGAATCTGCAGAAATAGAATTTATAGTAGCTCGTCTTGATAAAAGCTCAGAAACTGGGATATGGCGTAATTCTTTACGGGAAAATTTTACTGGAGTTATTCCTTGAAGTTGGGTCAGTGGATTGCTTGTCTGTGAATGAGTAAATGCTTGTGAATGAGATTTCATGAAATGTACTTTCCCTGTTGGCTCCTCATGATTATTAGGGGTAGAGAGTACAGCGTCTGTAACTTCCTCTTCAAGTGTTTCCAGTGAAGTCTGCTGTGTTCCTATATTGCCTAGGGTGCAGTTTATTTCTTTCAATTTCCCTACAGTTTGGGGTCTCTGTCCATGTTCTTCTAAAGAAATACTTGTTTCTTCTTGATTTAGCATCCCATCATTAGAAGCATAACCTAAAATGGAATATTCAAAACAACAATTAACTTAAATGCTTGAAAATAAATATTACAGTTTTTACTGTTACAAATTTCAGCTGATTCAATTATTCACTGTTATTGTAAAATGACCTGTTTGTGCAGTTAAAAGTTAATAAAGAAGAATATTGGCATTTGGATCTTGTATTACCCTTTCATTTATGGAAAGGACTTTAAACCTGAAGCTTTCATTAATGGAAATGGGATGTGTTTGTGTGTGTGGGTGTGTGGGTGTGTGTGGGTGTGTGTGTGTGTGTGTGTGAGAGAGAGAGAGAGA